TTCTTTTTATCTCTTCTAAATGATAACCTTGATGGATAGAATATTCTTGGTTGCAGGTTTTTTCCTTTCAGCACTTTGAATATATCATGCCTGCAAAGTTTCTGCTGAAAAATCAGCTGATACCCTTACAGGGTTTCTCTTGTATGTAGCTGTTTTCTCTTGTTGCTTTTAAAATTCTCTAATACCATTTTTTTGCCTTTTTAATTATGCTGTGTCTTGGTGTGGATCTCTTTGGGTTGATTTTGTTGGGGACTTTTTGTGCCTTCTAGATCTGGATTTCTGTTTCCTTCCCCACATTAGGAAAGTTTTCAACTATTATTTCTTCAAGTAAATTTTCAGCCCACTTTTCTCTCTCTTTTCCTTCTGGGAATCCTGTAATGCAAATGTTATTATGCTTGATGGTGTTGCTGAGTTCCCATAATCTATTCTCCTTTTTATTATTCATTTTTCTTTTGCTTTTCAGTGTGGTTGCTTCCATTACTCTGTCTTCTAGCTTACTGATACGTTCTTCTGCTTCCTCTAGTGTGCTCTTTATTCCATCTAGTGTGTTTCTAATTTCAGTTAATTGAGTTCTTCATGTCTGATTGGTTCATTTTTCTATTTTCTATTTCTTTTTTGAGGGTCTCTGAGTCCTCCACTCCTTTCTCAGGTCTAGTGAACATCTTTATGATCATTACTTTGAATTCCATTGCAAGCATATTGCTTATCTCCATTGAGTTCTTTTGCTCTGAATTTATCCTTTTTTTTTTTTTTTAATTTTTTTTTTTTCCATTTGGGACATACTCCTCTGTCTCATTTGTCTCAGTCTCTGTGTCTGTTTTCATTTGTTAGGAAAGCCAGGTATGTCTCCTCATCTTGACAGTAGTGGCCTTACGAAGAGGCCCTGCTGCCCTCGAGGTGTTGGACGGTGTCCCCCGGTCACCAGAACCTGGCACTTCAGGTGTCTCCTGTGTGTGTTATGTGCATCCTGCTGTTGTGCTGGAGCCACGTTTGCCTTCCAGTCGTCTTCAGTGACCCTCTTTGCTTATCATGGGCAGAGTTTGGTCCCTCTGCTGTAAGGGGCCAGTCTTGGCTGCCTTGAGTCAGACCAGATGCCTCCTCTTAGCCTGTTTGCTGGGCTGAAGTCACACCGTACTGCACGGTGCTCTCCTTGCACTGGCCCCTAAGAGGCTTTCACTGGAGATGGGCCTGCAATCGGGCCAGATCTCTGCCCCCACTTTGAATGTTGAGGTTGCAGTAACCAAACTCCAGGGCTCTCTCTTGCTGCCCCCTATGAGGTTTTTGTTGGCGGGTGGGGCTGGTAGACCAGATGTGTGCCCGCAGCCCACTGTTTGGGCTGCAGTTGAACTGGTGTGTGTGGTTATCTTCCCCTCTCTCCATGGCAGGTGTCCCTTTGGTGTGGTGCTGGTCACTGCAGGGATGCTTGCAGAATGAGATGAGGAAGGTACTGCTCTGGATGAACTCCTGTCCCGTGGGCAAGTTGGATGGGGCGGATCCACAGGATAACGCGGTGGTGGGGCCTTGGGTGTCAGACCGGATAGGAACTGCAGCCACTTCAGAGGGATGCCTACAGAGTGGGGCAGGTTGGGTGGAACGAGTCTGAAGGAGAATGTGGGATAGGGTGTGGTGTACTGTCAGCAAAGCTAGGTGGCCATTGTAGCTGCTGGTTCCTGTAGGTGTCCGGGTATCTAGATGGTGGGCAAGGAGAGAAATGGTGCCTGCCAGTTCTTGTGTTCTTGGAGAAGTCTCCTAAAGGTCTCTGTCCCTCCTGGACATCATCTGTGATTAGTAAATATACCCTTCCTGTGAACCTCAGGAGTTTTTCATACTGCTATTTCTATGTTATATCTCAGTGGGTTGTTTGTTCTGCTGGCCCTTCAAGGGCAGGGACTGTTTCATATTGCCCTCAGGCTCTCCCAGACATACACCTGCTGGTCTTTAAAGTGCCCTGAGTTAAGCCCCACTGATTGTAAAAACTCACGAAGCCCAGCCCCACCGGTTTTCAAAGCCCAGTGTTATGGGGCCTCATCTTCCCAGTGCAGGGTCCCCCATGTCAGGGGTGGCTGATGTGGGGTCTGTTCCTCTCCAGTCTCCACACTCGTGGTCTCCCTCCTGTTTGTAGCTAGTTTGGTTCTGGAGTGGGTCTCTGTCCCTTCTCCTGCTCCAGTGTGGCCTACTGTCTACCATCAACTGTGGAGAGCCTGTCCTGCTGGTCTTAGGGTTTTTTTCTGGTTTAGTAGTTACACTGATGTGGCTGTCATCTATGTTTATTCACGGGACAAGATGAGGTTGGAACTCTTCTACTCCACCATCTTCCGTGGAAGTCTGAGAAATCCCAATTCTCGGTATTTATTTGAAAGAATGGAAAGCAGGAACTCAAGCAGATATTTATACATAAGTGTGTATGACTTATATTCACAATATAATTATGACTTATATTCACAATAGCCAGGAGGTAGACCCAACTTAAGTATTTATGGATAGTTGAATCAATAAAGAAAATATGTTATATCCATATAGTAGAACATTATTCAACCTTAGTGAAATTCTGACACATGCCACAACATAGATGGACCTTGAGTACATTATGCTAAAAACTCTAATGCTTCCAGAAGAAAGTAGAGTATCTTTTGGACCTTGAGGTAGGCAAAGATTTCATAGACAGCAGTCAAAAAGCACTGGATAGGAAAAAAAAATAAAGCAAATCTCATGAAAATTAAAAATTTCTCATGTGTTACACTGGTAGGGTATGAAGGTGAGCCACAGATTCAGGGTAAATATTTTCAAAACATATACCTAAAAGTAACTTGTAGCTATAGTATGTGAAGAACTACTATAAGTCAGCAATGAAAAGGCAGCTCAAAGGATGGACAAAAACTTGAACAGGTACTTTACAACAGATGGGTGTACTCAAGTCCAGTAAGCCCAAGGGCAGTGCTCAGCTTAAACCATCAGGTGAATGCAAACCTAAACCCCCAATGAGATTCCCCTTCCCAACCACGATGGTGTCTGCTGTGGAAAAGATCGAGTGTACCAAGTGTTCTAAAGATGTGTCAGGACTGGAGTCTCATACACGGCTGACGGAGATGTGAACTACCATAACCACTTGTGAGTGGTTTGGCGACTTTTTTATAATTGAAACCTGCACTTACTATATGGCCCAGCAATTACATATTTAGACATTTAGAGAAGAGGAATGAAAATGCCCACGTAAACACATGTATGTGAATCTTTGCTGCAGGTGTTTTGTAATAACCCAGAACTGGACATAATGCAAATATCCAACAGCCGGAGAAGTATGAATGAATTACAGTATATTCCTATGTTGTATTATGTCTCATCGGTAAAACCCTGTGAAGTATTGAAACATGCAGCCACGTGAATGAATATATCAAGCAGGTCACGCTATAGCATAGTATCTATATGGTCATATAAAGTCTGTGCGATTCTGTTTGTATGAAGGTCAAGAGCCAAGGCAAGCTTGTCAAAATATTGAACGGTAGCTGTTTATTTAGGGTGGGGGTTGATTGGAAGGACACACACAGGAACTTTGGGTTGATAGATATGTCCTGTCTCAACTGGGGTAATGGTTCTGTAGATAGATTTCCATCTATTAAAATTTATCAGTTATACTTAAGATCTGAACATTTCACCACATGTACATTTTACGCTCTCTCCCCACACCTGTAAATTAATACCTCTGTTTAATAGCTTTCCTTTTCATAGTGTCTCTTCACACTTTCTATAGAAGAGATGCAGGCTGCAGGTGGCGCATGGGGGTGGTTGGGTGCCCTCTGTTCTAAACTGCTAACCTGCTGGAGTTTTCCTAGGAACAGCATGAGCATGGTGTTGGTGGTGAAGGGTGTGGATCCTGGAGGTGTTCACACCTGGGCTCACATCTAGCAATGCTACTCGCCACGCTAATAACTGCGAGAGCTTCGTACCTCTGCTTCCTCGTTTGGGAAATCGTGGGAGTGCCTCCTCGGTGGGGTTGTGTGGAAGACTGCGTGGAGCCGTATCGCCCCTGACTGCTGCCTTCTTGCTGGCTCCCGGCTTCCACTTGTCCTGCGGCCTTCTTCACAGCACCCAGAACCCCCACACACTCAGATCATGGCATCCCTGCTTAAAATCCCCAGTGCCTCCCTGTCAGACGTACCTGTCCCACCTCAGAAGCCCTCGTGCTGGTGCGTCCCTCCGCAGGGTGGTGTCCTCTCTGCCCACCACCTGCTCATTCACCTTCCACACCTGGGAGCTGCATTTTCTTGTGTCCTGGGAATTCTCATCTTTACAGAATGGCTGTTTATTCTTACTCTTCAAATTTCACATCGACAGAACTCTTCCCTGGCCTCACAATGAAGTAGGCAGTCTGTTTATCCTGTTTTCATTCCTGCCCTAGATGACTGCCTTTTGGGTGTCCCTTACCCATTAGCAAGTCAGCTGCGTGAGACACAGCTCCTTGTCCACCTGATTCTCCACTGTACCCCCCGCCCTAAGGACACTTACGAAGTAGGCGTTCAGTGACTCTTTGTGGGCTGAATCCAGGGGGTTAATATACTCAAAAGGCCAAACACAGCGACTGGCCCCTGAGAGTCTGCTGTTAGTGGAAATCATTGCTGCAGCCGGCGAGGTGTGACCTGCCCCCTTAACAGAACGTAGACATGAATCCCGAGCTTTGAGGAGTGTGAGAAGAAATACCCACAGATCACCTAAGAAACAAAAGTCACGCAGCACTTTGCAGCCAGTATGTGATTATTTATACAGGTTCTAGGGTAGAAAAATGAGTAATTAGAAGTCTGAATGAGTTTGAATGTCATTTCCCTGCAGCTTTTAATCCAGTGATTTTATACTTCTTTTCCCTCCTTCCCCACCCGTCTGTTTGTGACAGTGTCTGTAGGAGGATCAGCTATTTCACAGGACCAGGCCGAAGGGGAAAAAAAAAGGCCCGGGGCCTTCGGGATGTCCCTGAACAATGGGGTGATTGAGCTCTCCTTTTGTTTTAGACGTCCACACAGAAGCTGTGCAGGCGGCGCTGGCTAAACACAAAGAAAGGAAGATGGCGGTGCCCATGCCTTCCAAACGCAGGTCCTTGGTTGTGCAGACCTCGATGGACGCCTACACACCTCCAGGTGAGCAGTGGGCCCACTGTCCGCTTCCTAAAGTGACGAGCGAGCCTTGGAATTAATTCACCACTAGCTCAAGCAGTCCCGGGCTTTGTAGCTTTCAAACTAATGGTACTATAATTCAGATTTTGTGAACCGGAAGTCCAGTATGTGCACTCCAAATTAAACTTGGAAGGAAAATGAACATTAAGTATGTGTCTATACAAATACGTATTTTAATCTTTTCATTGAGATTCATAAATGATACAGCCTTTAAAGTCTCATAAAGTTTTACTTGATCCTTCATGTAGCAAAAGGGAAGAGTTTGTGCCTCCACAGTTATAACTGAAGTTGGACTTCTCTTCTGCCTAGATTGGTCTGTACATATTCTCAAGTCCTTCAAAAATAAATATGCCATGAGGTTGTATTGAGAAACCAAATGAATTGAAAAATTTATGCAGTTACCTCAACTTGGGGTCCTCATCATTTTCCTGTAACGTGCAGGTAGTATTTTGGTCTCTGGACAATGCAGTGTCTGTCACTGTGCTTATTCTGTGGTGATGTGAAAGCAGCCACAGGCAACAGATCAGTGAGTGGCTGTGGCTGTGTGCCAATAAAACTTTATTTACAAAGACACGCAGAGGGCCAGTTTGGTCCACAGGCCTGCTGACGACCCCAGTCTAAATGATTGATAACTACCTAAGTTCTCTGCTTCATTTTACCTAAATCATTATAATCTTTGTTTTATGATCTTCAAAACCAAAGTAAAGCACAAAGTTAAATTATCCAGGTACCTTTAGAAAACATGAAGGATCGAGCCTAATTTATTTGGTGTTTTTTCTGTGAATCAGGTTCCAACATTATTCATGTTGTTGCCACTGTGCCTTTCTGCAGACCTAAGTTACCTTGCACAATAGGAACAGAGGAACGTATACAACACTTTTTCGAGTATTTTGATGTTTAGTCCTGAGTGTTTGCAAGCAGTGAGAGTAGCAGAAGCACGCACTTAAACTCCAAGATGCACACAACATAGTGATTCAGCATTTTTGCTCCCGTGATACATGTAGTCACCCTGTCAGCATTCGAAGTTAGTGCAGACTGTCGACTGTGTTCCCACGCTGCACTTTGCATCCCCCGGACTCACCTGTTTTATAACCGGAAGTTTGTACCGCTCAGTCCTCTTCACTTGTCCTGTCCATCCTCCTACCCACCTCCCCTCTGGTAACCACCAGTTTGTTCTCCATATTTGAGTCTCTGGTTTTTGTATGTTCATTTGTTTTGTTTTTTTGTTAGATTCCATGTGTGAGTAAAAACATACACTATTTGTCTTTCTCTGACTGACTTATTTCACTCTGCATAATGCCCTCAAGTTCCCTCCACATCGTAGCAAATGGCAAGATTTCATTCTTTTTATGGCTGAGTAGTATTCCATCGTATATATACACCACCTCTTTATCCATTCATCTGTCTGTGGACATTTGGGCTGTTTCCATATCTTGCTTATTGTAAATAATGCTACAAAAGACATGGGGGGGGCATATATCTTTTTGAATTAGGATTTTCATTTTCTTCTGATAAATACCCAGAAGCAGAATTGCTGGGTCATAGGGTAGCTCTATTTTTAACTTTTGAGGAACCTCCATACTGTTTTCGAGAAGGGCTGCACCAGTTTGCATCCCACCAACAGTGTAAGAGGGTTCCCCTTTCTCCACATCCTCGCCAACACTTGTTATTTATTGTCTTTTTGATATTAGTCATTCTTACAGATGTGAAATGATACATGATTCTGATTTGTATTTGCCTGATGATGAGTGATGTTGAGTATCTTCTCATGTGTCTGTTGGCTATCTGCATATCTTCTCTGGAAAATGTCTGTTGAGGTCCTCTGCCCATTTTTTTACTCAGATAGTTTGGAATTTTTTTTTTTTTTTTTTTTTTTTGGTCTTGAGTTGTATGAGTTCTTTATATATTTTGGATCTTAACCCCTTATCAGATACGTGATGTGCAAACATCTTCTTCCATTCAATAGGTTGCCTTTTTGTTTTGTTTATGGTTTCTTCCACCGTGCAAAGCTTTTCAGTTTGAGAGTCTTAATTACTTACTTGTGCGTTTGTCTCCCTTGTGTGAGGAGACCGGTCCAAAAAACATTGCTAATATGTCCAAGAGTCTACTGGCTATTTTTTTTAGGACTCTTATGGTTTTCAGTGTCACATTTAGATCTGTAATCCATTTTGAGTTTGTTTTTGTGTATGGTGTAAGAAAGTGGTCAGTTTCATTCTTTTGCATGTAGCTCTCCAGTTTTCCCAACACCATTTGTTTAAGAGACTGTCTTTTTTTCCATTGCATAATCTTGCCTCACTTGTCATAGATTAATTGGGATTAATTGGGATAATCAACAGGGATTTATGTCTGGACTCTCTATTCTATTAATGTGGTGAAAAGTTTTATTTTGTACATATTTTTGTAACAAACAGGATGGATTTACAAGGATAACAAACCCACTTAAACCAAGTGTTTAGAACTAGACAGTATTCAAGGAGATAGATATTCAAGGAGATTCAATTTTTCTGAGCTACTTTTTTATGAAAAATGATGAGTTTAAAATGCAAGAAGCAGGGCGCCTGGGTGGCTCAGTCATTGAGCGTCTGCTTTCAGCTCGGGTCATGATCCCAGGGTCCTGGGATTGAGTCCCACGTCGGGCTCCCTCCTCAGTGGGAGGCCTGCTCTCCCTCTCCCACTCCCGCTGCTTGTGTTCCTGCTCTTGCTATCTCTGTCTCTGTCAAACAAATAAATGAAATCTTAAAAAAAAAAAATGCAAGAAGCAATGTGATTTTTTATGTATATGCTTTTTCACATGTTGAATCCATCCTCAGAAATGTTATTTTGTCATACATGATGAAAGACAAAACTTTAGAAAATCAAACATTGTACAGATATCTTTGCAAAATATAAAAGAACATTATTGGAAATGTTATTTTTGATGAAATTTTTGCATTTAATTATTTGACTAGCCCTTTCTTGTACACCATATAATACCTTTTGTAAATTGTCATTTAAGAGTCCTAGCGATAATATCACATATGGAATAGTTTTGTACAATCAAATGCCAGTACCCTTATCATAACAATTTTTATTCACAACCTATTTTGTGCGTAGCAGTTGTCTACATATTTATAACCATACTTGTACAAGACCTTAGGGCTAAGCTTCATTTTCTCTCATTCTGCTTTCCTTGGTTGCTGATAACATTTGTTAGAATTCATCTCATGTCCACTGCTCTTCAGAGCATATTCCTGAAATATATGTTTTCTGTGTGAAAGGACTAGTCACTGACCAGTATCATAGTCTCTGGAAAAGATCTAATTAGGATGGTTACACTGCCAGTCTTTTATAGGAGAAGCTTTCCTTTGGTTTTTACATACAAAACTATAACAAGAATTTGCCAGCACTTCTGCTTCTCACCATAAAGAAATAACTGGTACTAGACTAACCCAAGCACTATAAGCAACTATAAAATTGCCCCAGATGAATGGGGCAGCTGTTCTGGCTGTGCACCTCCAGCAGTGAAAGAGCACCCTGAGAGCAGGACAACTTGTGAGGTGAGCCCCACGGCCCAGGGATTGAGATCTGAATGAGATTGGCCACTCTGCTCCCTTGAAGAGGCAGAGATCTGAGTTCAGCAGATGAAAGGACTAGAGCTTTCCACTGATCCACACTAGCAAAGAATAACTCCAAGTCTGCTCAGGGTCAAGATGACCAACCAGTAATTGACATGCTTGCTAAAATAAGAATTATGAGGCTTTAGAGGAAGATTATAGAATCCAGAGTCTCAACATGCCACCCACAATGTCTACTACTCTGTAAACAATCACCAGGTATGAAGAGATATAGGAAATGTAATCTGTGGCCACAGGAAAAGGAATCAATATAAAATGAACATAAGATGGCCTCCATTGTGCTCTTGGTAACCACTAACCACGTGTGGCTGGCCTCAATTGTATTTGCTATAAATGTGAAATTCACACCATATTTTGTAGAGTTAATATGAAAAAAATCACTGGAAGGTATTTAATTAATTTTCATATTTATTATTTATTGAGATAATATTTTGAGTTAAGTAATACATTCTTAAAATTATATCTATTCATGTACTTTTTAATGTGGTTACTATAAGGTTTAAAACTATGTAATGAGACTCATATTTCTGTGGAGAGCTCTGGTTAGGTGTTTGAAATAACAGGAGACGGAGTTTTTAAATCTGTGATTATAAATATTTATTCAGCCAAATGAAAATAGGTTAAAGAACAAAAGGAAAATATTGTCTTAATATGTAAGCTGAGCAGAGAAAGGAAATTTCAGGGGAAGTTTCACTGGATTAGTATAACATCAGATTGGAGAAGGAAGATGAGTCTGTACACCTGAAAAGAGATGAAGAGAAATTAACCAAACTGAAGAACAGGGAGACACAATTAAAGAAGTTAACAGAAGAACCTTAAGTATCTACGGTACAGTGTTAACCTACTTTTAACTGGACTCCAAGAAGGAAGAGAGTGAGAAGAGGACAGAAAAACTATTGGAAGAAATAAGAGTTAAGAACTCTGATTGATGTAAAATGCCACCTTACAGATCCCAGAAGTTCAGTGAATCCAAAGTAGGATAAGTATAAAAAAATCATACCTAAGTTCACAATAGTCAAAGTGCTGAAACCCAAAGATTAAGAAGAAATCTTGAAAGTAATCAGAGGAAAACATATTACATACAAGAGAACATCATATGAATGATGAATGACTTACATGAAGACACCATAGAGACCAGAAGGCAATAGAAGGACATATTTAAAGTCCTAAAGGGAAAAAACAAAACTGTCAACTCATATCCAGAGAAAATATCCTTAACAAACAAGGATGAAATGAAGACATAATGAAATACACGAAAACTGAGAGAATATGGTGCCAGCAGAGATGCACGGCAAACATGTTAATGGATGTCATTTAGGCTGATGGGAAATGATACTAGACAAAAAATGT